GTGTGTGTGTGTGTGTGTGTGTGTGTGTTCTGTACTCACTTAAATCTGTGTGTCTATCACATCTTTTTGTGCTGTGGACTTGTTTACATTAAGCATGACTGAACAAGGGACAATGATGACTTCTTCACACAGCAGTCCATTGGGTTCAGCGTTGAGAACAAAATAAAATCGAAGTTCATTGGGGCATCAAAATATGAACTTGATGTACGTGGTACCCAATGCGAGAATGGAAGAGTTCTAAGTAATTTTGTGCTGCTATTCATTAAAACTTGTATTACAGCCTTACCATCCTAGGGAGCTAAAGATGTCAAGCCATTTCCTTGGTTCATCCACCAGTATTCAGTGGTAAAACTTACCTGTCTACTGTGAACTCAAACCTGAGTCACTGTATTTAACCCGAGTCACTCTGTTTCATACTACACAGGTTTTATTTGGATTTTATTTGGATTGTGTTCAGTTGTCCCCATTGAGTCAATTTCTCCTCCTTAAACTCCTCCTACCCCCAAAGTCAAACAAAGGGAACAAGATAAAAGAAAGAAATAGGAATGAAATTGTGATGGGCATAACAGCAGCAGTTTGTGAAAACCAGCAATGGTGCAATCATGTTGTCTATGTTGTGTTAGGTGAGGATTTTCTCATCAGTCATGCAGGTAATGACAATAAATACTGTAAATATTCCATGTGAGTTTACCTGAATCTGTGCATTTTGTGCCTTATTCATGAGAATGATAGAAGTACTAAAATAGGTCAAGTGTTTTCAGTATCACCCATCATTTACAAGTGCCAGTTGTAAATGTTTTTCAGCCAGCACCTGAAAAGACAGTTAAAAAAAAAAAAGTTAAAAAAGAAAGAAACCCTAACCAATCTAGAACAATTAATCGTCACACTATCTACCCGAGTGGCAGCATTACATCCTTGGCCATGGTCAACATTCCACTCCTGCTCTCCTAAGGATGGAACAGTGATAATGTGAAGTCAAAAGTGGTTTCCCAGGTAATGTGACACCTGCTGAGACCCTCCCGAGCCGTTTATTCTTAGCTCTGCAGAAGCCACTTGTGGCGGCTGATGCGCAGCCCGGATGATGGTTTCAGTTGATAGGCTGCACACTGCACGCTTGTTCCTTGAACCCAATCCAGGGTACGGAGGGAGAGGCATGCTCCTGATTCATGCAGACAGGGCAGGTCAGCTGATTTCGCCTGATCATCATGATGATGCTTCCATGCACTCCCTGGGGGAGGGTAGTTTGCAGGCGATCACAGCATTTTGAGGCAGTCTATAGAACGTTGATACAGTTATGGTTTTCCTTCAGAATTGTTTTTATAAAGACCGTGAGTCCTTGAGATCTCTAGAAGCTCAAAAGCTAAAACTTCCGTTCTTGAAACACTTCAGCTTTGCAACTAAAACATTACAGATTAATAATAAATTAAACCAACCAATGAAAACCACTACTCATTCTGCCCCCCCACAAACGTGTTTGAATTCACCTTACCAATATTAATCACAGTGTGTAAAACGGAACAGTAACTCTATGTGAACCCGAATAACATTTTGTAACATTGTGCTGCCTTGTAGTTTGTAATGTGAGTTCTATCAGTATTTATGTTGAGATTTCTAACATTAAATCTAGTCTCTATCCTGTTAATTTAATTTTTTCAATGCTTTATCCATTTGTGCAAAGGTAAACGCAGATTGTATCTTTTTTAATGGTACGGCATAAAAAGTAACCCTAAATTGAAGTGACTCTATACTGTTTTATAGAGTACTTTAACATGTGTAGATATCTTGTAAACTTGTATTGTGGATGTGTAAATAATATGTACTTTGGGTTTTTAACACCGCATGTAAAGTCAAAATAAAATATTCAAATCATTACACCTTGGCTCTTGGTAGTGGAAAGATTTAGAAACTATCATGGTGCTGAAAGACTTTTAAGTCGGTCAAATCCAGTGGGAGTTCCTTTTGAAACCTACCAAAATATTGTTAACAAAATTGTCATTTGGATTCACAACTGTTTTCTTTTTTTTTTTTTTAAGTCATTTTATTGGGGGCTCGTACAACTCTTTTTTTTTTTTTTTTTTAAACATTTTATTAGGGGCTCATACAACTGTTATCCCAATCCATACACACATCAATTGTGTAAAGCGTATTTGTACATCATTTCTCAAAACATTTTCTCTCCATTTAAACCCCCGACATTAGGTCCTCATTTTTCCCCTCCCTCCCCGCTCCCCCCTCCCACATGAGCCCTTGATCGTTTATAAATTGGTATTTTGTCATATCTTGCCCTGTCCGACGTCTCCCTTCATCTACTTTTCGGTTGTCTGTCCCCCAGAGAGGAGGTCACACACAGTTCCATGTAATCGGTTCCCTCTTTCCTACCCATTCTCCCTTTACCCTCCCTGTTTTGCCACTCACACCACTGGTTCACAACTGTTTTCTTCTTGGAAAACTGATATTAATGGATTAAACCATTGCCTATGTCAATTCTGACACATAACGACTACATAGGACCAAGTAAAATTGCTTCCATGGGGTTTCCATGGTTAGAAATATGTACGAAATCAGACTAGCACGTCTTTTTCCCATGGAATGGCTGATGGGTTTGAACTGCCAACCTTTCAGTTAGCAGTGAAGCACTTAATCACTGTGCCACCAAGACTCATTAATGGACAGTGCCCCTAAAACACGAGAAACTATTCAGAAAGTCAGATGCTCTTGGTCGAATACATCAGGCAAACTCACTTGTTTCTCATTATCCACATAGCTAGCTTAATAAACATTTTTAAAATCATGATTTCTATTTCTATATGAATTTTTAAAACATACTCTGAGTCCAAAATTTTAGATGACAAATGGTTCAGGTGCACATTACCTGGTATTTGGTAGAAGACACTTCTTGGGGCCAGTATTTTGATTGATTAGAATGTAGTAGAAGATGTCTTATTCAAATATCAAAATGGAAGATGAAAATATAATTCCATTTGTGTCTTCCCCAAGGATGTAACTAGGGATCGTCTGCTGTCCTTGTGTTTTACGGATATCGAGAGGGACAAGACTCTCCTAAGAAGGGCAAAGGGAACATTTGGGCCAACATTTGCTTTCCTGGGCTATTTGTTGCTCCTGGACACAGCCTGCCTATAATCAACCCCCTAGGGTGACATTGTCTCAAGGATGCCCAGCAACATCTTTCCAGAAGGTCATAAATTGCCTTTAACCATGCTTCCTCTCATGATTCATCTAGAGGTCCTACAAGCTGATGGCAGCTCCGCTCGTGGGCTTCAAGGTTCCTTTTGATCTCTATCAGCAGGTTTCGACCAAGCGGTATGAGGAAATGTTTACAGGTATCATTGCGAGAGAGACAAAGGCTGAAGGACTATGTGGCCCACTTCTCAGCTGTCAACGTTATACTTGTGTGTGCATACTGCCAGGCAGGGCCACCAACCATGGAACCTACCCATGGCATTTCACAGCCCCCTACCTGAACCCCATTTCAGGACAGGAGAGGAGAGTGGAAGGTGCTTTGCTTTCACACTGATGCCTAGAAGTCGATTTGTTGGGTTTGGATAAATGAAGGAAGGAAGAGACAATTTAGAGGAAAGGCTCTTCAGCCTTATTTCTTCTTGGACATTTTTGGCATTTCCGTTGTCTAGAATTCTTTATACAGATTGGGCTGCTAACAGCAGGATAGACAGTTCAAAACCACCAGCCTCTGCAGGAAAAAACGACTGGGCTCTCTACTCCCGTAAAGAGTTACAGTCTCAGAATCTCACAGGAGCAATTCTACCCCATTCCTTTAGGGTTGCTATGAGTCTGCATCGACTTGATAACAGTCAATGTGGAGTTGAACGCTACTAAACGAATGGTTTTTATATCTTAGGGCGAGTTGCCTACTTTTCCTGGGTTGAGTGATTTGTTGTTTTCTTCTAGAAACTACATGTTCCTCTTACTCCTTGATAATAGTTTTTGCCCTTTATAGATTATGGGTCTCTTTGATAATTTAATGAATGTATTGGACTGAAGGCTTACTTCCACTTTCATTTTCAGAGGGTTTACACAGTTCTAATGCACCATCGATGAATTCTCAAGGCAGAAGAGCCATCCTTGTGTATTCTTTGTGACACATTAATTCTATTAGGGAGGAGGCAGAGGGGTAATAGAAATGGAACATTATATAGGAGAGCCATCCTGCAAAAGGCCAAGGCTTAAATAAGATGAATGAGCCAAAGAACCTGTGCGGGGCGGCCCAAAATCCCATTGAGTGGCCATTGACGTTGCTCTTGGTAATGGTCATGGTAATCTTTAAGACAGATGGGACACTGGAAATGATCATACAGGCTAAGAAGAAAGGGCATCTCCTGGGGTCAAAGTAGTGAGTGCTGCAGGATGCTGGCCTGACAGCTGGAGAACTTAGTTTCAGGGCATCTGAGAAGACCCACCTTTTCGTCTCCTTCATTTCCCGTGTCAGAGGAGGACAAAGAACATGGGGTCCAACACAGGTCTAGTCCTGACTTCATCGCTTTCCAAGTGACTTTGGAGCAGAACTCTCTTGATCTTGGTGTCTCTCTTTTTCATTTTTTTATTTTTTTAAAGAAGGTGGCTCACCATCCCGATTCCTGATGGCTCTGTGGTCTGTGTCAACGCTGTGTTTCTATTTTGTGAATGTCCTACTTAAACGTTACCCTTTTAATAGCTCTGTTGGTAAGCTTTTTATGGGTGTGCAGTACATGTTCTCTATTAGATGTGAGCTATAGGTGAGATTAACAACAAAATAAGGCATGATAAACAATGCACTTTAAGCTATTTAGGGGCGATATTTGATGTTTATCCTTTTTGTATAAATAACATGTCAGATATTTAAATCT